TCGTTCGTTCGTTGGTTCGTTCGTTGATCTTGGACCAAGTGGAAAGTTCCAGACTCTCTGTGCCATCGTCTCAGCACTGATGAAAAAATAATGACTCGGCAGATTAATTATAGGAATGTGAGCAGGCGATGACTCATCTCTCCACCGCCTACGACGACGACGACGAGGCGCAGCAGTTCAAACAAGTCGACGGTTTCATCACCAAGAGTCAAACCAAGGTTAAAGAAAAGACTGAAACTAAATATAAAAATATATATTTACATATATTTATTTGTCTGTGTGTTTGGGAACGTGTGTGTGTGTGTGTGTGTGTTGTTGATAAATATGAGCTTTTGCAACATGTGCAACTTTAGAGAAGTTGGACGTTGTCGTCTGGACGTCTGTTCCCATATGGCGTCTCCATACGGATAATTGTGTCCCCGGAGGCTCCGGAATGTGTGTGTGTGTGTGTGTGTGTGTGTGTGTGCTGCAGAAATCTCTCTTATTTCCTGCTATTTATAAATAGCAGGAAATTTAAAAAAAATTTTAAAAAATAAAAAATTCGGTTTGAACGTGGTTTACACCAACTAACCTTTTTTGCGAAGCGGACGGGTTCAATTTCTGACGATTTTTCACGGACTGACCTTTAAATAAAAAATAAAATAAAACATCATTCAGAAACAGATTATAAATAAAACAAAAATAATTCAAGATCAGCATTCATTCAGTGCGGACCGGTACCACTCGACCCATGGACCGGTGCCGGCCCACAGCCCAGGGGTTGGGGACCACTGGTTTAGACGGTTCAGCCTGTTGTTTACCCAGTGTGTGTGTGTGTGTTGTGCGCCCCCTGCAGGCCTGCGCGTGCTCCTGCTGTCGGGGTGCTCCTGGGCGGCCGTGTCGGCTCTGTGCACCTCCAGCTGCCCCCTCCTCCGGACTCTGGACGTGCAGTGGGTGGAGGGAGTCAAAGACGCTCAGATGAGGGACCTGCTGTCGCCCCCTACAGACAACAGACCAGGTACACACCCTGAGCAAACAGAGGAGCGAGAGATGTGTGTGTGTGTGTGTGTGTGACGACGACACACGGTGAACTGAGCAGTAAAGGTCATGAGGTCAGGAGTCACAGCACAGAAACACGATGCAAGAACAAACAATAAAACTAAAGTTTAATTTTAATTTTTTTTTTTTACATTTATCAACTTAAATCAAAGAAGAGATTTGATGTTTGAAAACAATATTACTTCAATAAAACTATTAATTAAAATTGGCTTCTATATACAGTATATATATATAGTAAAAAAAGTAGAAATAATAATAATAGATATATTTTAACAAATTAAAAATATTTAGATGTCTAATAATAAATACATAAATAAATATATATATTTTTATGAATACTTACTAATTTTGCACGTAAAAAAAAAAGCTTTCGTTTAGTTAAGTATAGCTTAGCAAGTTTAGCAAGCATTAGCAACCAGCTAGCTGCAAGACAATTATAAAACTTGACTAAACTGCCCAAAAAAAAAACCTCTTTACTTTTTAAACATATTTTCAGCAACAGAATTGTTTTAAAATTTTAATTTAAAGATGAAAAACTGCATAAAGTGAACACGTTTGTCGGCCGTCGGTGGATTTGTAAAAAAAAAAGTCCTTTTTAGGGAACATTTAGAAACAAAATGTTCAATTGATTTGTAATGAATTGTGTGTTATATGATGAATGTCCTTCCACTTGGGGGCGCAGGTCAGATGGACAACAGGAGTAAACTGCGTCACGTGGAGGACCTGCGTCTGTCCGGGCTGGACATCACAGACACGTCACTGCGTCTCATCATCCATTACATGCCCTCGTTGTCCAAGCTGAACCTCAGCTACTGCAACCACGTGACGGACCAGTCGGTCAACATCCTGACGGCCGCGGGGACCACCACCAGGGACTCGCTCACCGAGGTCACCTTGTCAGGTACGAGGCCGTGACCCTGACATCTGTCCAACGTCCGTTCAGTTCAGAATTGACTCGGTGTGAAACCTGAGCCTGTTTAGTTGAACACAGGACTCAGGAATTGAAGAAAGACATACAAACATCTCTTTTACATCTGGTGCCACCTAGTGTTGTGCACAAGTATTAATTTAAAGGGTGTTTATGTCTAAAACAATCAAGCTAATAGTAGCTAATGTCAATTTTATTTAAATTCACACTTTCTAAATTTTTCCTTTTGGCCACAAATAACCTCTCGATGGGCTGGTTCTGGCCTGTGGACCTTATGTTGTTTTTGGACAAATTGTCTGCTGAAGGTTCAAAGGTCATGCACATTTAGCAGCAGTTTCCACCTTGGGCCTTAACACAGAGATTTCTGACTCCCTGAAGTATTTCCTGACAACGGCATCGGATAAAAACCTAAAATTGTCATTTTTGACAGGTCAAATTTAACGTCTGCCTCTTTAAAAAAAAACCAAACCATTTTTATCATCTCTCTCAGACCGATTGGTGTCGTAGTTATTTCTATAAAACGCCATGAAAACACGTTCCTAAAGTTCTGTCTTTGTTGTTGAAACATTTGCGGCCAAAGCAGATTTTTTTACTCCAAACATTTCCATCTGATTTAGAATTGATTTTCCCATTTGCTGCAGAGTGCACACACAGCTAGAAATAATCGGATCTCGCTGCCGTTTGTGTCGTCGGGTCGGCAGTGAACGTTAAAAGCGGCTTCAGACTTCGCTCTTTATGGAAAATGTAAAGTAGGAAAATGCATTTGGACTTTTCCGCCGTGTCCATCAGTCTGAACATCGATCCAGAACCGTCTGGTGGTCAGTAGATCGAATCCCCTCACAGTTTTGGTAGAAGCTCGAGTGATGACGTCGTCTGATGTTTCTCCTCCACAGCCTGTAACCGGGTGACGGACCAATCGCTGACCTTCTTCAAACGCTGCGGGAACATCTGTCTGATCGACCTGCGCTACTGCAAACAGGTGACCAAGGAGGGCTGCGACCAGTTCGTGGCAGAAATGTCCGTCAGCGTGCAGTTTGAACTGAAGGAGGACAAACTGCTGCAGAAGATCAGCTAGAGGACGACGCGCCGGAGCTCCTGTCCACAGGGTGGCGGCAGAGGACCGCTGGCTGCCTGAATGTAAAAGTGGATTCTTGTCCTGTGAAGGCAATATTGCAAAAATGTTTTTCTTTGTGGTTGTTGTTTGCACCAGTTTAGAAGAAGAAACACGTATTTATGACCTGGTTCTCCGTGGGTGTTCTCCGACTGTTCCTCTTCTCCTTTAAATGCAAATTTTATTGCATTATAGAGTCATATTTTTGTATCAGAAAATGCTTTCCTACATTTATGTGCAGCGTTAAATGCACCAGTGTAAAGTGAGGGCTCCAGACTGACGTGCATTTGGCGACCCCTACGGGGGGATAAACGGAAGTGTAACGGGGCATTGATTCTATATAACACACAGACACTTCAGTAACGGACAACACCGACCAATCCATATTATCGGATGATATTAGCATAATTACGTAATATCGGTAAGAATCGTTATCGATTTTTCCTCCAATAGTAAAAAACCCAATAACCCAATTCCTGGGTTTCGGCCAGATGATGTGACCTAAAATATTTTTAGTGAAAATATATTATTTTTATAGCATCATATACTGTATGTTGCTGCATATATTATATATTGGATGAAAATATAGGCGTATCAGTAAAAATCCCTAAAATATCTGCAAAACCCCCCAAAAACTACACTCCTGGAGAAATATTCTACAAAGTAGTTTAAGTACAAAAGTTTTTTTTCTTTTCGCTGGTTATTTTTTAATTTTTTTACCACCACGGAAAAATGTTTTAATGTTTTTTTTTTACTTTTGTTTTTTGGTGGTGATGGTTTGTTTCTAGACATTCCTACAAAATGATTACAAGTATTATACTACAAATATATAATATATACTATTATACTATATTATATATAGTGGTATGGGATTTTTTTTTTTTTACTACTTTTGTGGTAAACGTTTTCCCTCAGAGGGTCGATTTTTTTTTTCTACTTTAACAGGAAGTCTATTCACCTTGGCCACAAATGTTCAAACCATGGAAAATGAAAGCGTCGACGTTGACGTTTGAATGTCCAGACAATCCTTCAAAATAAAAATAAAAAAGTTGTCGAACTTTTTAACTTTTTATGGAGAAATCCTCAATTTTTCAGTCTTTTTCTAATCCCGAATACCGTATAAATACAAAATATAAATAATATAAATTTATAAACAAAAACGTCTCCAGTCGTTGTTTGGACGATGATTTGACGTGTCCTGAACTGAGCCGTTTGAAAACCAAACTTTTGCTGCTTTTTTTTTTCTATACTGTGACAAACTTTAATATTTTGCTGCTTATCGATTATATATTCTCCCCACGGTATCAAACAGAGGACTAATTATTAGTCGTACAATGCTACAGCACCACATAGTGGCTAGAGAAGGTACCACATGTATCTGCCTGGTCAGAACTTCTGCTGTTTTTTATTTTTATTTTTAAATATATTAATATTATTATTTTTCTAATTGAACTGCTGTGAACACTGACGACGATCAAACACCGACCGCGCTCCAGAACCAGACGGAGACCGAGGGTCCGGTTCTCCGGGCCGTGACTCGTCGACTCCTCTGCTAAAAAAAATCGTAACACTGAAAATTCAGACCAGGGCAGAGATTGAACCTCGGTGAGTCCAGAGACACGTCCCAGTCTGGAGCCCGGTGTATCGTACCACGACAGCTGCGATCGCAGAGGGTTTTTACCGATGATTTACATTTTGTCGCCAAATCTGTCGGTGGGTTCTGTCGCGTACGAGTGGGTTTTTGTTTTTGTTTTTGTTTCTGTTTCTGTTCTGAGATACTGAACACAGTCGTCCACATACAGCTGCATATCTTATTGCCAAGTCGTTGTTTGGTTAAATGATGTAGAAGACGATTTTATTTGCACTCCGACGATGCGACGAGGTGGCGGACGGTTTAATTTCACCGACACAGCCTGGAGACACGCCTGCCCCCTGTAGGCTGTGTGCGTCATCGCTCTGTTATTTTAAGGTGTTTTGAGTCCGATTTCTTAACACTGCGTATAATTTTTGCAACCGTCACTACATGTAAAGTTTAACTCCTGTTAAAAAGACAATTTTTCAACTATTGATTTGAAACGACGTTCGATTTTTTTCTTAATGACTTTTTCTCATTTGAATCAGATTTATGATCTGGACTTTTGAACTGTGAACAATCAAAACTGTTTAGTAAAAAAATATATAATTTGGTTCTTTAACAATTCTTTATTTGTATTACATTTTTCTCTGAATTTCCAACAGTCCGTCAGACCTTTCTACATTTTTTGGTTGAACTCATTTAGCCGTTATGTTCTTTGTACCTTCCACCTGGGCTAAAGGCTAAGCTACGGCTAGGCTAAGCTAAGGTTAAGCTAAGGAACAAAAATGTTGCCTACACTCATGTTGCGTCTTTGCTTTGTACCAAACAGTACTTTTAGAAAAAAAAAGTTTTTTTTAAAGTATAGAATAGATTGTTTTCTGCGGTTCAACAAACTCGTTGCTTTTGTAACTTTTGCCAAAGTCAAGCCAGGTGACGAGTATGACAAACAGTACCAGCCAAAGTTCCAGTTATCTGATGTAGTACCGTTTTCTGACCAAGGTGTTTTTGAAAGACTTTTGAAATTTGACCACAGTTCTGACCAAGGTGTTTTTGAAAGACTTAGAAAAGTTCTCACAGCAGCTGAACCCGGTCTGGCATTAGCTGGAAAGTATTTTGAGTTATTAGCAGGCATTTATTTTATTTTATTTTTTTTTTCAAATATTTTTCTTCAACTTGATTTTTTTTTCTGACTGATGATGTAAAAACGTGTGAAACCAAACATCTCGTCATCTTTCAGGAATCTGTGGACGCTTTATCTCTCATATAACATATATCGCCATCATCTGGTCGCCATCAGGATTAAAAAAAGAAAAAAAAGAAGCTCCGACTCGGTTCAGTATCTCGAGCAACATCCAGAACCAGACCTGTCCAGGATATTAAAACCACACGTATCTTTTTTTTTTTTTTTTTTTTAGATAAGATTCTAAGGCTCAGGTCGGTTCTGACAGACTTACGATCAAACGATAATGACGCAGAACCGTTTTTCCTCTCAGTGTTCTTGGAACCGAGTCCTTTTTTAAAATATCAGATTTATTTGTCTTTAACATCGTGTCCTTACTGTGTTTTTTTATGTTATTTTGGAAGAACATAACAACCATGTTTTTAAATCCTTGTCTTTACATTGTGCCTACAGTAAATTCACCTTTTTAATATTTAATGTGACGCAGAGATTTTTTGCTACTGGTTGTTCAACTGTCGAAATGGTTTACGTTTGTTTCCTTATCTTAAAAACAAAACTTTTTTATTCGAGAGTTTCTGTTTTTGTAACTTTTGAGAAAAACTAGTTCACATTTCAATTGTAGTAAAATTTTTGCTTTTACCAGAAAACCACGTTTCAGAAAAGTGTGTTACATGTGTGTAAATATGACGTGTACATAGTGTACATGGAAAGCCTCTAGGAAGAGTCAACCTTTGAGATAATAAATCCACCTTAAATAACGACTTTTTGTTCCGTCTTTTTTAAATTACAAATGTTGAGCGTTGCTCAAAATATCAAATGCACGATACATTCAACTCACGATTCACTAAGACACATACGATTTTATCACAATTTCTTATATTTTTTTTTTTGGTAAAGCTACGATTTTATCACAATTTCTTAATTTTTTCTTTTAAACAAAATGAACTCCGAACAAATTATGATCAAATACAATTCGTACTTTATGTTGTAAGAACTAAACAAAATACTAGTCCGATATTAACTTTTTGCCAATATCAGATATACCGATATTGTCCAAACACTATATCGATTCCGATATCAACCAATACCAATATATGAAGCCGTCTTTCATCCTAAAAGGCACTCATCTACCGACAGTACTGGGCTACAGCCACGTGGTGTCACTACTGAGTCAGATACTCGAGAAAACACTGCCTTTGGTTATACATACAGTATCGGTATCACCGAGTACTTCTTCTTCTTTGTCTTTCGGCGTTGTCCCTTTTTTTTCAGGGGTTGCAACAGCAAATCATTGATTTCCATCTCAAATTTTTTTATTTAGAAAATTTTTTCTTGAAATTTGTTTTGAAAAATTTGGAAAAAATTTTTTTTTAAACATTTTGAATTTTTTTTTTGAAAGAAATGTTTTTTTTAAAACATTTTTTTGAAAGATGTTTTTTTTAAACATTTTTTTTTGAAAATTTTTTTATTTAGAAATTCTTTTCTTGAAAAAATTCAAAATATTTTTTGAATTTTTTTTGAAAAATGTTTTTGAAAATTTTTTTTGAAAATTTTTTTTTTTTGAAAAAAATTAAATTTTTAAAAAATTTTTCTTAAAAAAAACTGTTTCTTGGAAAAAAATTTTTGTTTTTCTCCAAACCTTCCTGTCTGTGTTGTCCCTCTAATGACCTCATTCCTGATTCTGTCCATTCTTTGGTCATTCAAAATTGGTCAGTTTTGGAAAAAAAATGGTTAAAATCTTTGAAAAAAAAATTTTTGAAATTATGTTTTTGAAAAATGTTTTTGTAAATTTTTTCTTGAAATTTTTTTTTGAAAAATTTTGAAAAAAAATTTTTGAAAAATTTTGAATTTTTTTTTGAAAGAAATGTTTTTTTTTGAAAAATTTTCTTTTGAAATTTTTTTATTTAGAAATGTTTTTCTTGAAAAATTTCAAAACATTTTTTGAAATCTTTTTTTGAAAAATGTTTTGAAATTTTTTTTTGAAAACTTTTTTGAAAATTAAAAAAAAAAAATTTTTTTTTAAATTTTTTTTGAAAAAAATTGTGGAAAAATTAAAAAAAAAATCATGGCTGGTCTCACCACCGTCCTGTAAACCTTTCCCTTCACCTTAGCTGACACTCTTCTGTCACAGGTCACTCCTGACACTGTTCTCCAGCTGTTCCATCCTGCCTGTACTCTATTCTTCCACAGTCTCCTCTGCTTTGAACAGTTGATCAACAGTTGATCCTTGGTATCACCAAGTACCCTCTGCTCTGAACAGTTGATCCTTGATACTTGATACTTGGTATCAACAATTGTAAATACTTGTTCATAAGAGAAATAGTACCAGGACAACGCTGGTTTATTGAGAGTCTGTTTTATTTCTCTGATGTTTGGGTCATGTTATACTTGGTTCTAGTAATTTTGTAAATAAAAATAATCTTTAGTAACATCTACTTTATCATATTCAGTCTAAAAGTATTTCTACCCTGAACAACTCCCGACATACTCGAGCGGTAACAAAACGACAAGTCAGAGAATTCTAGTGTTGGTTTTTGATTTTACTGCATTTATTGAATCTAATAAATCATTTTTTCTCTTGTTTACCAAAATAAAAAGGTTCAACATTCCAAAATATAAAGATCCAGGATTATGAGTGCTCGTGGTACCGTCCTACTCTGGAATACTAGCTGCCCTGGAATGACATCTTTGAGAAACAGCAGCATCGACACACAGACCGACAGAGTTACAGTGTTTGTTACAGTGTGTGGCGCTCAACCACCAACAGCAGAGGATGATGGGAGTCAAAGACCAGAGCACGTGGTGATGGAGTCGGTGTTGACGGAGAGACAGAATCAGCAGAAATACATTCGGAAAAAACGTCTTTTTTTGTTTTTAAACCTTCATATTTATCTGTTGTCTCCGTAGAACATGGAAAAATATACATTTACTCAGTAACTGATCAGTAAACAACAATATAACCTAGAATCTACTGTCTGCAATTCAGGTAACTCCAGTTACGCATTTTTTTCTTTCTTAAATATTTCACAGGCGTACTGCACACACAAATATTTTAGTCACATCTGAGTAAACGCAAATACAAACGACGCGTTCAGTTGCATAAAGGTGAACGTAAAGGAGAACTTCTTTACCTCTCACTGTGAGTGGACCCACCACAAGTAGGCTAGGTAATGTCATCGATTTACTTAGAAAAAAAAAAAAAGATGAAAAATAGCACCTGTTACCCAACTAGGTTTCTACGTTGACAGACGACACCATGAAATACTTTGTGGAAATCACACGGTATTGCTCGATGAAACAAGAAAAATCCCGCCTCGAACGTTACTCTAAAAACGCTGGCATCGCTGGCTCCTCCTGAGGGAATCGTACGTTACATTTCCCGCTAGCATTTGTATGTGGGTTTTAAAAGTGAGGCTCAAGTGGGTGACCTCATAATCAGAGACGTAACGATCAGAAGAGTCCGACTGACGCCCGGAGCCGTAACGAAGGGCAAAGCTAATGTTGTACGATCCAATGTACGACGTACAATCGGAGACGTCTTCTGCGTTTATCGCTGCATGACGACACATTCGTCCGCAATACGACGGAATGATGGGACAATATAATTTGTTATATAAATTTATGGGCGATACCGACGTAACCATGAAACGCTGTAGGTCGAGGACGTCGTAAACCGAGGACGCTAAGACAGTAGCTGCGTCTGACGGATGGAGAAGCGCGGCGTTGAACGCAGCAAATGTAAAAAACAACTTTGGACTTTCATGTCTTTGACGTGTCTCTTGCAGCAAATGTAAACAACCAAAGTGACGAGACATCGACCGAGAGTTTAAGTCAAACGTCCGATAATGTTTTTCCAGTTTGTTTAACGAAACCCTGTTTTCTTTTTTTCTGCTACGTTGTTCCTGCAAAAAGGAAGAAAAAAAAAGTCATGTTTGAGTCGTCGGTTCCTGCAAAAAGGAAGAAAAAAAAAATGTCATGTTTGTGTCGTTGGCAGAAAACACACACATACACGTTTTTAACACGTTGTTACCCACACTGATGCTGGTTATGAAGTGCGTGTTGCTACGATCTAATGCTAACTCAAATGTCAAGCAAAGGCATGATGTTTGGCACCTTATGTCCTCCGTGAGGGACACCTGACCTGTGTCCTAGTCCAGAGTCCTGTGTCTTCGACTGGCGACAGTGCTGTGATGCAAAGAATTCTGGGATATGTGACTCGTGAATTACTGACGGATGAGGAAATGTTAGGCTGCATTTCGAAAAAGAGCCTGGAACTTTAGTCAGGCCTTGACGACCAAAAGTCTCGATGTTGTCTCCAAAACCTAGAAACGTAAACGCAGCTCAGTTCCGTCTCTCGTTCCAAAAAAAAAATAATCAAAAAATCGGGATAGTGACAACGACACAATCTGTGCAAATACTTTTGACTCGAAAAGCCCAAAAGAATTTGTCTCAGTATGTTTACTTTCTAGAGCTTGTCCCTGCTGGCGTGCGGTGGTACTGCAGTTGGAACTTCATAACCGGGTGGCTTACATGCAGTCTACGGTCGTCTTCCTGACTCGACCACGATGGGTTGGGACGCAGCCATTTTAACTCATGCACGTGGATCAGAAATAAGAATTTTCCCCCCAAAAAAAAACTCAGTCCTTTCGTTCCGTGAGGGAGACGACACAGCGCCCCCTGGTGGGATGACGATGTAAACTGTTGTGACTTTAACCCTGGTATCTTATATTTTTCCGTTGCACTGCTTCCCTTCACCACGCACGACAACACGACCCACTTCAAGTAAACACAGCCCCCCCCACCCCACCGCGCCCCCCTGTGGGCAGAACCGAAAAACAGAACAGGAAGTGACGGCAGAGCGGGTCTGCTGCGTGGTCGTCAGACCCCAGAGAGACGGAGACGGAGAAGAGTGCAGCTGTCAACTGTCCACCAGGGGGGAGAAGTGGAACTGGAGTGTGAGTTAGTAACAGAGAGGAGAAACAGAGCGTGTTGGGCCGCCGGCTCCAGTCTGGTACCGGGGACCGCGGGTTTGTCCCCGCCTGCTGTGGCGCTGTCGGGTGCCACACGCGGCTCTTTGACCTCCATCGAAACTTTTGAGTTCGGGCCGCGTGCGTTGGCTGCGGACTCTAGGACTTGAAGACGTGCACGGCCCGTACCACGTACTGCCTGCAGATGGGGCACTCGCTCATCCTCTTCCCACATTTGGTGCAGGTGACCATGTGACCGCACTCCAGCAGCACGCAGTCGATGATGGCGTCCATGCAGATGCGGCACAAGTTCTCGTCCAACGCCAGCTGAGTTTTGACGCCATCTGGGGACAGAGACATGTCAGAGACGTTTAATTATCAACAATATTGTTTTTTTATGGAAGTGACGGGGATGAAGAAGGGCTCCACCTGCTGGTCAACATGAGGTGCAGTGATTAATGAATGAAATGAAACATTTATCTATGCTGTGCTGCATAAAGGACACAAAGACACGTTTGATACTGTAAAACAGAGGTACCCAACCCCCGGTGCGAGGACCGGTGCTGGTCCGTAAGTCATTTGGTTCCAGGTCGCAGTGAAAAAATGTACTTCAGTTTAGGATAACGTTGAAGATAATCTGTCAATGTTTCAGAACAACAGGTCAAAGGTCATTCAGACTCTGACCGACAGAAGAAACATGTGATGTTGATATTTATTATGTAAAACCTGTAACAATCGTTATCGGATTTTCCTCCGAAAATGAAAACCTGAGAACACAACGCCAAATATTCTGGAATGGCTCGTGTCGTCGACAGTTTTGGGGGAAAAACATTTGGATGTTTTTGACTTTCGTTCATTGTGTTTTTGTTTTTATGCAGTACAAAGATGACGATGACTCATCAGGAGGTGAGTGTATGGGGGGGGAGGGGCAGGAGGAGGAGACACTGACAAAAGACGCCACAGAATGACTGAGATGATGACATCATCATCAGCAGGGGGCGCAAATGGCTGCGGCATGCCTTCACGGAGGAGGTGAAAGACGACCGACACAACAACTCACCTCCGACCGCGCTGTCGCACAGAGGCGGAGGAAACGCAACCACTTCAGAAACAGGAAGGAGGAAATCTGTTAGTTCACCCAGTTCACATTTTTGGCGGGAAAACAGAACGGATAAAACATGATCTACTCTGTCCAGTTACCTGCAGTGATGCTCACGTTCTCCACTGCAGAAAAAAGAAAAGAAAAACAATATCGATGTAAAAGATTTTAAAACACAGTGACTTCACCGTCACAGACAGAAATGATAAAAAAACCAAAGGTCTTTACTGGACTTCCTGTTCAGCTCCGTCTCTCTGTACAGTCGATGCACTCGCTCCAGCAGCTCCCACTTCTCGCAGCAGCCGGAGTAATTGACAAAATTCCGAGCCAGGATTTCCTTCAGCTGGCGGACGGTGAGGTTTTCAATCGCGTCTTCGTTGTCCAGATCAGAGAGCGAGGCTCTGATCCTCCGCTGAGTCGCAGGACTGACCTGGAGTTCAGGACGAAGTCGAAGAGTTAAAAAACGTTAAAGTTTTAAACATCGTTTTTCTCCTGAATATAAATAAATGAAAAAAACGTAAGGACGGGAATCGAACCTCTACGATAGTTTCACTGGGGTCCAGGTTCAGGAGAGAAGCTGACGCCGTTTCCTCCTGGTCCTGTGACAGTGAAACAGATGAATAGTTAGTTAGTTGGTTGGTTAGTTAATTAGTTAGTTGGTTAGTTAGTTAATTAATTAGTTGGTTAGTTAGTTAATTGGTTAGTTAGTTAATTAGTTAGTTAATTAGTTAGTTAGTTAGTTGGTTCAGACCAGGATTATATTATTTTGTCTTTATTAACAATATTCCTTTTACACCTCACTCCTGTTCTTGTTTTGGTCTGAGCTCAGTGTGAATATTTATAGTGAGAATTTAAATCCTATGAAGAGACAAAATATAATTTTATTTTATATTTAAATCCTCTGAAGAGACAAAATATAATTTCATTTTTATTTTTTAAACCAGTGAGTTTTTAATTATTATTTATTTATTCCACCGCACTTTAGTAAAAAACGAAAATAATTCTCCATTCTTCCAAAAAAATTCCAATTTTCTTAAAAAATACAATCAACTTTATGTTTATACAAAAGAACGATTTTTTTTTAACATTTTTTAGTTCAGTGACGGAGAGACACAGATTTTAAATACATATTTATTTTTATAAATATAAAGATTATTTGCAAATATCCATTTGAAATAATGCAATAAAATATCAATAAAAATCATCAGAACACTGGAGACAAATGACCACAAGGTGGCGTTTTATCCAAAAACAGACAAAAAAAAATTAAAGAATAATAAATATAAAACTGACTGAAGTGAAGATCAGACGGAGACGGAGGACAGGACAGGTGTGTGTGTGTTCCGTGTGTGTGTGAACAGGACAGGTGTGTGTGTGTGTGTGTGTGGTTAATCTCCAGCTGTGATGTCACTGTGTGGCTATTATATAACAGACTGAGTCTGTGGACCACAACAGACCAGGACTAAAAAAAGGCAAAGAGCTTAAGCTGTGTGTCTTTGTCCAACACACACACAAACACACACACACACACACACGCGCACACACACACACACCAGTACTGAAGTATTTTCCCTCGTGTGTAAAATCAAAATGACAAAGTAGAAACTTTTACTACACTTTAGTAACAATAAAATGTTTATATTTTGTCATTTTAATTTTGACCTTTGACCTCTAGGTGGTTTAAAAACAGGGCCAAATAATTAATAAATATAAAATAATTGAAACATCAGCAGAGATGGAACGATCCATCGTGAATCGGTTAAAAATCGATCGCGCGTCAAGGTGTTAGCTCAAAAAGTCACTGGTCACACCACGACACTACACCCTCCAGTGCAGTAGGTGGCAGCATGTGTTCAGTTTCAGTTGATGATGGGAGTTCATACAAATAAAGGTTCATTCTGGAGATCATTATGTTTAAAGAAAAAAGAAATCGTGATAAAATCATATCGTGAACAAAAACCGAATCGTTAAAGGCAGAGTGTGTGTGTGTGTGTGTGTGTGTGTGACTCAGACCTGGCTCGCGGTCCCTGAGCTGTCACTCGGGCTGAGGACGTCTCCCTGAGAGGCGGAGAGGACTGACTGTTCTGACGCGGAGCGGGTAGCGGAGCGAGGAGAGGCCACGTTGGAGGGGGGGGGTGAGTGGAGACTGTCCATTTCTTCACCCCCTCCATCTTCCTCCTCCTCCTCCTCTTCCTCCTCCTCCTCTTCTGCGGGAGTATCCTCCTCCTCCCCCTCCTCTTCGTCATCATCGTCTTCCTCCTCTTCCTCCTCCTCCTCCTCCTCCTCGTCTTCCTCCAACACCGGCCTCTGGTGCTCCCTCACCCCCTGATGACGCAGCACCAGCTCCACCAGGTCCTCCTTCTCCCTGCAGGTGTCTGTGGAGATGTTACGGAGCAGCAGGTACTGACGCAGGTCTTTGACTCTCAGCTGCATCAGCCGCGGCCTCTGGAACGCAGTACCGCGCAGCAGGTAACAGGTGGCGCAGCAGCGCAGGTTCTCCTGCAGCACGGAGCACAGGGTGCAGAAGCTCTTCTTACAGTCGCAGCAGATGTGCTGAGGAAGAGGAGGAGGAGGAGGAAGAGGAGCAGGAGGAGAAAGGAGGAAGAGGAGGTAGAGGAAGAGGAAGAGAAGGAAGAGGAGGAGGAGGAAGAGGAGGAGGAAGAGGAGGAGGAGGAGGAAGAGGAGGAGGAGGAGGAGGAGGAAGAGGAGGAGAAAGGAGGAGAAAGGAAGAAGAGGAAGAAGAGGAAGAGGAGGAGGAGGAGGAAGAGGAGGAGGAAGAGGAGGAGGAAGAGGAGGAGAAAGGAGGAAGAGGAAGAAGAGGAAGAGGTAGAGGAAGAGGAAGAGAAGGAAGAGGAGGAGGAGGAAGAGGAGCAGGAGGAGAAAGGAGGAAGAGGAAGAAGAGGAAGAGGTAGAGGAAGAGGAAGAGAAGGAAGAGGAGGAGGAGGAAGAGGAGGAGGAGGAGGAGGAGGAAGAGGAGGAGGAGGAGGAGGAGGAGGAGGAGGTAGAGGAGGAGTAGGAAGAGGAGCCGTGGTTAAACATTCGTCTCCAACATCTTTTCATCTTCAGTCGTTTCATCTAAAATGTTACAATTTCTCCCCCGTTTCCCCCGAGGCTCCAGATTTGTCAAATTAAACCTTCCTGTGATTTTTTTTGATGAATTTTGAAAATGTTTGCGCTGACAGGGATTTAACGGCTTTAAAACACAGAAAACGGGTCACATCGTGGAACAGCGCTCCCTGTGGGAGGATTCTGTCGTCGTGTCTTAAAATTACTTTTTGTTCTAATTCAATTATTTGACAAAAGACTAAAAGCCTGTTCACAGGGAGGACAGGGCTGCCACTTTATGGATGTTTTCTGCCCCCTGGTGTTGGTCAACTGAACGACAGCACAGACCAACAAAAAAGGACTAAATACGTTGATACATCATCACGATTAATCGTTATCCTAATAATAATCACGATTAATCAACAGAAACGTTGTCCCTGAATCTTTTGTCAGGTCGACACATCGACAACGTTTTTGTTGCTTCAACAAACCAACATCTCGCAGCGGAAAACATTTGTAAATATGATTCCACAAACACAGATTCTTCACTTATCGAATGTTGTCGTTTTGATTTTTTAGTTAAAACCGAATTTGAATTTTACACAATGACAAAATGTTAAATGTCTCTCGTCGAATCACGAAAATAAAAATACTGAAGAGCTTCAAAATAAGGCAGGACAGAAGTGGACCGTGGTCTGGTCTCTGATCAGAGACAGACTGTGGACGTCAATCAATGACTGTCGATCCCCCGTCCTGTCCCCCCCCCCCCCCCCCCCCCCCCTCCCCCCCCCCCC